AGAATATATGACTTAACATATGTAAATGAGAACGGTAAAAAGACAGAGGAAGACTAATGACGTCTTTCTAACTAACGCAAATAAGAGAGTGGCTTTTATAATAAATAAAATACAAGAGCACACTCAAACAATATGTATATATCCATAAGTGTTTTGTGTTCGTACAAAGCAACGTGTGAAAACAATTGAAGTTATTTTTTCTAGTTGCACACGACGGTGAATTAATACATTGGGAAAGAACAAACTGTTCAGTATTTCTCAGCACTACATGATAAAATGGAAACGAAACTACATTCGATTTGGTGCGAATTGTTTGGAGAAGACAATATTTCCTACTCATCATCATACGACAGTATCGGAGTTGATTCTCTTGTGCGTTTAAAACTACTCTCACTCTACCGAAAACATTTTGGTATTAGAAATATGAAAGCAGCTGAATTATTTCAATATACAACAATTGAAGAACATGCACGGCTGATTAAACAGAAACAGACACCTCCTAATGGTGAAATCAAAGATGACATCAAATCATTGCAAGAGCTCACATATCAAACAAATGGAAGCAAACAAAATTCTGTCAATTTTGCTCCTACATCATATGTTCAGAATTCTATTTGGTTAAATGAACAACAGCTTCATTCTTTGGCAATATGGAACCTTCCCCTAATACTGAAAATCCGCAAAGAGAAAGTCTCAATTAGCCGACTGCACTCGGCCATTTTAGCTGTCATTACTAAACACAAAATATTACGCACGTCCTATAAAAGGTCTGAAACATGTATATTACAAGTCGTTAAACAAGCCCCAAGTTTAGATGAAGTCCAACGTGAAAACTATTATTCGTTTCAAACAAGTGTTATTGCAAATCTCAAAAACGAACTTTTAGAAGACATATTACAAAACGAATCGATTGGTAATGTATTGGACTTGGAACGTGGTATTGTGTTGAGATGTCACTTAATAAAAGATTTTCACAATGATAGCAACAATAGTTCCGATCACGAAGATTTGCTGTATCCAAACGACCTCATTTTCTTTAATTTCCATCATATTGCATTCGATAGAATGTCATTAAAGCCTTTTCTAAGTGATCTCCAGCTGGCATATTCAACTACCGAACTACATATCCTAGATGCCACAATCGATTTCCAATACATTGATCATGCTATTGATGAACGAAAAATGATAGAAGATCCGTCACCAGAGTCCGAAATGAATCGCGCACGAATTCACTGGCAAAAAATATTCGAAGGTTATAATTATGAAAAAACACTACGGTTACCTTATGATTTTAATATCGACAGTCGCTCTGGCAGAGGTGACCATTTGGATTTTGAAATCGATGAATATATTACTACGGCGCTTTCAGATTTCGCCAGACAGTCAAATATTACCATGTTTGAATTATTAATAACGTGCTTTTATTTGTTTTTAAGTAAATTAACAGATGACAATGATGTATGTATGGGAAGTATCGCGGCAAACCGTCATACAGCTGAGGTACAGAATTTAATCGGAATGTTTGTGAACTTCGTTCCATATCGTTTAAGATTTGATCCGACCCTCTCTTTCAAAGATTTAACGTGGCAAGTTCATCAGACATGTTCAGAAGTGTCACAATATTCCTATTTACCTTCTCAAGAAATCATACC